AATAATAATAATAATCTAAAACTCTGAATTGTCAAGATTAAATTTATTTTTCTAGATTTTTTGGATAGAAAGCCAACAACTATATTATTACAATCAATTTGTTTTAAACATTTTTTTTTTCGATAGACACCATGATAAATACATTCAACCTTTTTTTTTGGTGACATTGTTGACCAAAAGTAGGATTTTATCAATATTAATTTTGAGAAGGTTCTCCTGGCTCATGCAATTTTAACTGATATATTAGTAATAGTTAATAAAAAATTCACAAATTTGAAAAACAGATGTCATTTTTATACATTCTAAAATTTCAATCCCCTTTTTGGCATCTTATGGCAAAATGGGATAATGAATGACGATACAGACACGAAAGGTATTATCGATTTTCTTTGGAGCCACGCATTAATTTCAGACGTATCAAGGGCTTACAGGTCAGTGCAAGCCAGAAAGCTCAAGATGTGGAGGTTTAGATGTAGATCAAGCCATAGAGGATACGATCCTTGTGAATCGAAGTATGTATACAGCTATCTTAATCTTCCTCAAGTACAGAAAGCCCTTCATGCAAACAAAACAAAACTTTCCTACAATTGGGAACTTTGCAGGCAAGAACCTTGATATTTGAAGAAGTTTTTAATACAATGTTTTATACGTTGGATTAGACAGGATTGTTGTCACATGTTACACTTCCTTAATCTTTCCGAGTTATGTCTAATCTGACGTACCGAACATGCCCAACAAAATATAATTATCCTTGATATTTCTTGAATAGAATTCCTGGATGTTTAGACAAAAATTTTGTTTTTTCTCAGCGCTGTGATCAATTCTATTTAGGATTAGAAACAAGCCTAATTGGACATGTTTTCTATATATATCTTGTTATTTCATAACTTTTTTCACATTTTTGAGCTTAAATTGAATCAAAAAATATGTTTGACGAGCCTCTTTTACAGTGCGTACATTTTGCATATGCTAATATACATCTTTGTCAGTGGCGACGTGGATGCTGTGGTTTCAGTGTATTCCATTAGTTCTTTGAACCTTACAGTGATCAAATCTTGGCGTTCCTCAGTTCGCTAGATCAAAACAAAATCAGCAGTCGACGGAGTGGCTGAGCTTGTGACGGGTCGAATCTGTAGATGAAAACCTAATCAGCCGTTTACAGTAGGTCGGCGACGTTGCCGTTGCCGATAAGAGTCCCAAAAATATTGAATTTAGTGGTGGGTCGCCATAAACTTCCGTTGAACTAGTGGCTGCTGGGAATGTTGGCTTGGGGTTGTGAATTGGGGGTTGGTAGGTGACGTAAATGCAAAGTGAAGGCTAGAAATGTGATACTGGTTATGAACATCTGACGGACAGATTTTTTATCAAATGGCTTTGAAGAATGGGCAACAAACAGGCCCTAAATGTGCGCAAAAAGATTTAACACTCGTGCTCGAAATCTATTAAAATTTATATTAATGTTCATACCTATTAATTTTCTCTTTCTCAATAGAAACAAGAAAAATTTATCTCCTCTAAATTGAAGTCACTTACGTGAATTATTTCTGTAGCCAAACATGATTAAATTTAAATGTTTAGTGTTAGTATAAAATAATATTATGTCATGGAGATGCTTATTTTTATAATATGACATTACTAATGGCATGCTTGGAGTGTCGACGTACTCGTTATGAGTATTTTTTAAAGTACCGGTTATGAGTTTTTTTGATCGGACAACTTATGAATGATTTTGGTAGTGATTCTAAAATAATTCAACCAATACTTGGAAGTTTATTATCTATTGATTCTGAAAGTTTTTTTTTTTTTAAATAAAGTTACATATATTCAGTTTATAATTTCTTATATGAAAATTTTTACTCATAAGTGATATTTTACTTTTTATGCAATTTTTTTTTATATAAGTTAATAGTTAACTTAAAACAGTTAAAGTATTAACCGCTGATTTTATGTTAGTGTTTTTTAGTTATAAATAAACTTTACAATTATAAATTTAATTTTGTAATTTTAAATAATTCTTACTCATAAGTGAAACTTTTTCTTATAAGTAATTTTTTATATTTTATAAATGATTTTTTTATATTTTTTAATAATACTTTTACACAAAAAATACGTTTGAGTTGAAAATAATTATTTTGTAAAGGGTAAAAAAAATAAATTTGAGAAACGACTAAAAATCTTCGATTTAGTGGGTTGAGAGAACCGGTCAAAATTACACTACACCTTTTTTTTTTTTTTTTGTGGTTTTTAAACCATTCAAAATTGGTGCCAAACAAATTAGCAAGCATATGTTCTTTAAATCCATTATAAACAGTACCGTCCAAAATCGGTCAAAATTAGTGAAAACACTAGTTAAAATATTTTAGCCAAGCCTTAAAAATATGTTCACTAGTATTTTTAAAATATGTTCATAACCAGTGTTTTCACTAAGCCTTAAACGCTGGTTAAAATATGTTCTTAACCAAGCCTTAAACCACTGGTTAACCGACTCA